GCTGGGATTTAAAGCTGACCATCTGGCTTCAGAGTCTGCATTTATCATTATCCTATTCTGCTCATGACACCACGCAACTAGGGTAATTGAGGTTAATCCTTAGAACCCCAAAGTCTAGTATTTTGTTCATTTCCACTTGACAGAAATTGAGATCCAAAAAGTAAAATAACTTGTCAAGTGAATATTTTTTTCCAAACTGAGTAAAAATCCAGAAAAAAATAGATGTGCCCTGTCATTTGTATCTTCTTCTGCAGCACTAGAGTATTCATGGCAAATCAGGTCAAATGATCAGGTGCAAAGTCTATGGGCAGAAAGAAGCAAGTAAGCAATGGATTTATTTTTGATCAGGTCTTAATGGGAAAATTGTGAATTCTTGCCAAATGTTGATATGAGTTTAGATGAGAAAGATCAATGGGCTGGTTGAAACAATAGTGTCCCTTAAGTCTCCAAGCTGGTGAGCTGGAATGTAAATTCTGCTGACTCGGGAGGGCAGGCTAATTTTGTGAATGAATATGTGGGTGCTCATTTCATCTAACTCATTTCAGTTCAACCCTGCAGCCTCAGAAAAGACAGAAGCCAGACAACTCTCTGATGAGGCCAGTTCTGTTCCTGTAGTCCAAATGCTGTCTGTGCCTCTGTTTCTGACACTGAACCTGAATGGACAGAGCTCTGCACACAGCCATGCAGTCATTTGCTGTTCTGTACTTTTGTTCATGTGTCTGGTCTAGATGAATGAAATTTACATCACTTTAATAAGTATTAACCATTTTAATCTTAGTAAATTTTCACATAAGACATTCAAATTGCTTCCCAGTCATCTGGACCCCCAACGAGATAGATGCAATCTCTTTGAAAAGCTGTGCCAACTCTTCCAGGCCTTTTAGACCCATTTGGCTGGTCTGTGTTTCAGGAGCATGTCTGAGGAGAAAGCAATCAGGTGCTTAGGACAGTGGTGGGCAGGTAACACTTATAGTCCCCTTCCCATTTTTAATATTATACTCCTGTTTCCCAGTTCTGATTTACTTGCTATCTGTCTCTATTACTTTTGTAGTGGAGCCTTTAAATATTAGTAATAACACCATCAGCCAATGTGTAATGATTGAGTGCTTACTGTGCACTTGGATGCATTATTTCATTCAATCCTCCAACCACATAGGACCTCATTATCACCCTACTTCACAGATAAGGAAACTGAGTCTCACCTTGGAATCTGTTACTGCTAATTTCTTCATGACACATTTTGTATATATGTATATACAGACAAATTCTAATACAAATAAAGTAGTTTATTGTGGTTCATTTCTTTATGTGCATATCACTACTCACTGGTGCCTTTGCATCACCATGTTAGCAGATGGAAGTTCTAGAACACTAATAACTACTTAGACAAATGACGTCAGCATGACTGTTCTCTAAACTCCTCAACACCTTCCGGCCTCAAAATCCAAAATGTTAATGTACTATTCTCAGGAGAACAACTGTTCCTCTAGTTTAACACTGATGTCCTATGCCAATGGTCCATGTGTCCTCAAACGTAATTGTGCTGTGGTAGATGGGGCTAGTTGTTTATGTGTTTCATTGCTGGCCAATGAGCTGCACGATGGGGTGTTCACTGACAGAGACGTGTGTTCTGGTCATTGTCCTCAGTGCCTTAGTATAAGCCTTGGCACAAAGTCTATACTCACCAAATGTTTGTTGATGTTATTTTTCATTAGTGCAGCAATGTAATGAGAAACTCATCATTAATTATGATATATGAATATTTATATGTTATTCCATACCGTTATGATTTGGTTCAGGTGCAGACTTGACCAAACTCTAGACTGATAATGTTAAAGCATTCAAATACCTTTTCAGGGCTGGTTTGCTGTGTCCCAATTTATCACTCAGAAAATAATCAATGATTGCTAAGGCATCCTATACTACTAATATTCTTAAGAGAGGAGGAGTGAAAAATGAGGAGACACCCTAGAATTCTTTTTAATGTTATTGGAAAGGTGCTCTGGCATATTTTATAAGTTAAACCTGTGTCTTCTCATGAAGCATTAAAAAACTCAATAAAAAATATCACTGTGAGCGAGGTACAGACGGTTCATGCCTAGAATCCTAGCTACTTGGGAGACTGAGATTGGAAGGATCACAGTTAGAGGTCAGCCTGGCAAAAAAGTTTGAGAGATACCAATCTCAATGAATATCTGTGGCATTCCTGCCACCTTAGCCAAGGCAGGAAGTGTAAAATGGGAGGATCTCATTCCAGGCTGGCCTGGACAAAAAGCCAGCCACAATAACCAGAACAAAAAGCACTAAAGGTGTCAAGCAATAGAGTGCCTGCCTAACCAAGGTGAAGTCCTAAGTTCAAACCCTAGTACCACCACCAAAAAAAAAACAGGACACAGCTGAAGTTTGGGAGATGGATCCATTCACTTTTCTCACTCAACATTTAGTTGTTGTGTCAGATATCAAAGGGATAAACAGGCAAACGACCCAGTCTTCTGCCCTCATAAACCCACTATTGTAATAAAACTGGGTTAAGGCATCTATTTGGCTCTCAAGTCAGACTACCAGGACTCAGTTCCCACTCCATATCTCAAGACTTCACTGTGTGAGTTCCTTGACTTCTCAAAGCCTTGTGCCACTGAATGTAAAATAGGGGTAACAGTAACAACCCTTATCACAATAAGTTCTTAGGTATATTAAGTGAGATAATATATAAATGCTTAACAGAGCAAGTATTCAAAAATATTATCTCTGATAATAGTCATTCTTATACTCCTGGTATAAAGGTTTTAATAGAAATAAGAACAGAAGAAGACACCTGACTAAAACCAGGTTGAGTGGGGTAGATAAAGACTACTTTCCTGAAGAACTACAAAGATGAGTATGAATCAGTAGGCAGACTGGGTCCAGGATGGCTGGAGTTGGGATAAATGATGCCTGGGTTAACCTTTAGGAGTCTAGTACCGTGATTTCAAAGGGCTGGAGACATGTAAAAACTTCCATGTTCAAGGCAAGGCTTATACTTCCAGCCACCTCAACCAAGAACAGAGGGCAAGGGTAAAGAGCAGGTGTTGTAGAAAGTGTATGGCAAACGGCCTTTCTTCACTTTGAAGTCTTGCAGGTCATTGAAGAACTTTAATCAGGGGAGTGACATATCAGAGTTTTGTCTATTTGGCCACAGTGAAAATTGGAATGGTCCTGAAGAGACTAGAGGCAGGATGCTACTTAGCAGGCTGCTACAGTCATATAAGTGAGAAATGAAACTGAGGCAATAGCAATACAAGCAGAGAAAAGTGAACAGATTTGAGGTGTTTTGAGAAGAAAGGGGTGGGACTTGGAAATTAGTTGGATGTGAAGACCAAACCACGGAGCAGTCAAGGATGACGCCCAGATTCTGGCTTGAGGTATTGGATGGATGGAAGAGTAGGAATAGAGGGGAAGATGGTGTTTTCAGTCTGAGGCATGTAGAGTTTGGGGTTCTGTATTGGTCTTTCAGATGAAATGTCTAGCAAGTATTTTGATAGAAAGGTGTGGCACGTAGAAGAAGAGACTATTAACGTCATGAAAAGGATCTAAGAAATTATTTTATGTGTTGAAACACTTGATTTAAGCCCATCTACTGAATCTATTTTTGTTATTCTTGGTGTTAAAGATGAGAACACTAAAGACATAATATATGTATCTTCCAGAAGGCCAGCTTTCAACTTTATTGAAATAAATGACCCACTTTGATGAACAGAATGCTGACTTCTAAGGTTTCTTACAACTGTAGCCTTATGATTCTACTGTTCCGAAACACCACTGGGAATCTGGACTTGCCTTTTGCTGACAGCACCCCTGTGACCTTCAAGCCTCCTTTGTGGGTGTGTGGAATATATTTTTGAAAATGAAAGCCCATTACCTATAAAGCCATACAGCCCCAAACATGCAGTGATTATGCCATGGAAAAGAAAAACCAAGTAAAGACACTATCTACATTTACCTACTCTGATCCCAATTGGCAGCAAACAGCAGAAGAATCTTCCGGCCGTAGTGGTCACGGTTTTCCAGCACTCCAGGGAAGCCATCAATCAGAGCCCTCTTAATGCCGGGATCATCCGCCTTGAAGTTTTTGAACATGTCCAGATTTAGCTGGCGGTACTGAAAGTACTGGGCCAGGAGTCTAAAGGCATCTGCTTGGTGAAACTTCCTGGCTCGGAGAAATCTCAGGATGAAGGCATCGTCTGTACGTAAAAATCCAATGTCAGGCCTGGTAATGATCATGTCTCTGACTTGCTGAATGTCCTGATGCAAAACATCTGGGTTTTCATTCAGTTCCAGACGTGCTTTCTCTATAGTCTCTGGACTCAGTCCAGCCTGCAAATGCGTCATGTTGGCCAAATCTCCTTTCTGAGTGTTTAACTTTTGATGTTTTGGAAGAACAGAGACTGGTCCCATTCACGTGATGGTGGGCTGAAACTGTGGCCCATTCAATAGTTTTCCTACTACCAGACTGCTGCACAAACTGACAAATACAAGGGGATCTTCTTGCTCCTCTTGAAAAGCAGCAGGACATTCAGGCCCTGTGTGGTGGTTGCATCCAAAACAGAAGCAAAACCAGGGCCATTGCTTACTGAAAAACAAATGCACACAAGAAAGTGAAACAGAGATGATACAAAGAAAGTCTAGGCAAACTAAAGAGTCTAGATAGAAAAACTGTAAGGTAGGCTGTGAGTCTTATGAGTGGGTATTCAAGGAATAAAGGGTAAACAATCCTTTAAGTGAGTTATTTGGCCTTGTTACTAGACAATTTGAATGTTTACTATGCAAACATTTAAAACATGCTTGGGAATTTTTTAGTTACAGTGACTAGTTAACATAATGGGAGTATGGTCAAATTAGTCATAAGAGTAATCTTTTATTAATGTCCTAAGAAACAATGAAAGGAGAGAAAGATCCTTCTTTGTTCTAGAATGCTTTATGGGGCTGTTCACAGGCTGAGATATGGTGAGAAATTGTGGCTCCTGTACAATTTATTGCTTCCCATTAGCTTGTTTCTCAAACAGAATTGTCTCTCACAGAACTACCCCCTTCCCTGTGGTTTTTTTCAGGCTTCCATTTACATCTTAACAATAAAAGGGAACTGTTAAAGGTCACCTTAACTTAACTCTACAGGTGCCTAATTACTCAAAGGAGTCCTCCTCTAGTGGGCTGGAGAGTGGGGACAACTTAGGGCTGGAGGCCTGACCTTCAGTAATCAATTCAATAAGCAATCAGAAAAAACCTCACATTTGCCACCCTTTTGCAAGGAAGGCACAGGAACTGGACACTCTTGTTGGCTCTCTACCTAATCCAATATCCACATAGGCTCAAAAACCATTCCATTTCATATAACTTTTCTAGTGTCCTGAGATACTGTTTTATGTATGATAATAACTGTTTCAATCCTCTCTTATGACTTCTCTTCCTAAATGGTACACAGAGAAAAACCCATGTTATTTGCGTCTTTCCCATTCTAAGTATAAATGCTTAACTCTCACAGTTAAATCCACATCTGTTGGGTCTATCCTGTAAGTTCCAAAAGTCAAGACATACTATGTGTAAATATACTTGGAAGCATGTATTTTCCTCCTAGATTTCCTTGGTCAACAATATCTGTGGCAAGAGGCAGATTATTTCCTCCCCAGCTAATCATTATTGGTAATGCTTCATCATTCAAAATAATTTAAAAGACAAAATGAGTCTTCTGCTTAGTTTAGTAGTACATATTTTTGCTTTATGATATGGGGTAGATGAAAGACACTTTAAGTGACTGGCATTCATTTTCAATATAATAGAATAATAGAATGTATTTATTTATAAAATTTTTGCATTATAAAATAATAACATATAGCTGTATAATGTGTGCAATAAAGAGGCAACAGACTCGCTTTTCACTGGTTTTAGAGACTCATAATAGTAAAGGAAACCAGGGCTATGGAATAATGCCAGGATTAGAGGAAATTTTACAATCTATCTAGTTCAGTACCCACCAAATGTTAAATTCCTTCTCCAATTGTCTCACCACACTCCTTCAAAAAACTGCCTAATCTGCTGTCTCCCTCCTCCAGTTCATCCTTATGCCCATCGTAATTTATCTTTGATGTACTGCTGAAACTTCTCTCACTAACCAATGACAACAATATAATTTATTATCCAAACACAGCCACTAAAGGGTGCTAATAATGATGCTGGAACAAGCATAAACTGGGACAGTTCCAAGCAGATCCAGACAGATGGTCATCCTGCTAGTAAATGAAAACTTTTTTCTGTATCTAATAGATAAATTCCAGTACCAGTCTGGGTGACCTTTATTAGTATTTTACACTGACTCCTTAATCTTTCTTCAACAGGACCTGCCCCTTCTTCCATTCTTTTCTCTGACTCTATACATCCTAATTTTTTCTTATCTTTTTGCTCCTTCCTTCTCAGTCTTCTCTTTCTGTTCTGACCCTTTCAAACCACTATTTTCTAGGGCTCTGCCCCATGATTTGGCCATTTACATACAAATAACCTCAGTCTATAACTTCCTCTTGATTTCCAGTCTCCACAGTCAATTGCATACTGAGTATCTCCACTTAGAGGTCCCACAGACACTACAAATCAATATGTTCAAAACTGAGCTAATCATAGCTCCTCATCCTGAACTTCCTCCTCCACCTCGGTGTCTTAGTGAATGACATCATCTTCCACGCAGTTCCACGCAAGAATCCTTAGAGTCAACTTCTATCCCACCCTCTCCTTCACTATCCACTACCAGACAATCACTTCCTTAACAGTTCTCATATCTGCCCAATTCTTTCCGGCCCCATAATCACTGTCTTTGATGAGACCACATTACTCCTCATTTGTTCAGAGCCTAGTTATGACAGCCCTGCAACTTCAAATCTCTCCTTAAGTCCAGAGTAAGAATCATGTGACAGTGTCCCTACCAATCCATTCTCTATTCCAATTCACTCTCTGGATTACAGTTGAAATATGCTTATATCGATTAATATCTGTCATTAGCTTCCAATTGTCCTAGAATAAAGTATAAAACTCTGTAACCCAGTACTTCATTTGGTCATGCAGATACACTGAGTCACTAACAGTCTCTTCTATCTCCTGTGTGCCTTGGTAAAAGTTGTCTTCTCTTTTGAGAACTGGTTAACACACCTTTGCTCTTCACGGACTCAACCTGAAAGTCACGTTCCCCAGCAAACACTCTTTGGTCCTCAGAGATCACCATATTCCCCATACTCGCAACCATACTAAGTTTTATTGTCATTTTCCTTCTCTCTCTTTATTGACAAACCTATGGAGAAGAACTGGCTCTTATTCATCTGTGTATCCCCAGTACATGTGGCATAAAGAGGGTCAGCTCTACGAGCAGAGCTAACTCATTATGTTCACTGCCATATCCTCAGTGCCTAGAGCAGTGTGCACCATGAACTAGGTGCTCTATAGTTATACATAGCACAATTAAATAAAGTTAAGTAGTTAAAATGTTGTTTATGTGAGTGAGTTAGTTATTCCTTCTCTGTTTGGGTACTTCAGGACTGTTTTTCCTTAAATACGGCATTGCAACTCACTTTTAATTTCCTCCCTCATCTACAAAATAGCTCCACTTCCTGGAGAATCTTACCTAGGCACATTGTATCTTAACTCCTCCTTTTTTCTCTTTGAAGCATGTTGGGTAGTGCTCACAGTGCCAAGCCATGGAGCACAGTATTAAAAGCACAAGGCATAGTAACGGCTTGCTCCCTACAGAAGATTTAAAGCTGCTTGGAGCAAGTTACTTACCTTACAGTTCAGGGAACTCAACAATGTTTCCAAGATAAATTACTATAAGTTCAAGGGGAGGTTTGAGGTTGCATTTTTCATGGCCTGCTTCCACACATAGCTATGCATCCAATCTATAATATCTGAAATAAATTTGCTCCAATCTACATCTTTATTCTGTGCTCAGCATACAGAAGCAGCTTCTGGGGAGAACAGCTGAGACAGGGTCACTGGGTTTCATGCTTAAGATGAAATAGATATTTTCCATTAAAGGCAAATCCTTCATGCCAGAAGTCTGAATAGACTGCTATTTAAATAACAACTTCAACTGATGATAGCATATGGTACTAGAAAAACTACACATAGAATGTTCATAAGAATATAGTACTTTCAATTGCCTATAATCTTTTGTTCTCACTAAACTTTTCTGAATTATGAATAGATATATTGGACTTGATATCATATGAAGAAGTATTTTTCTGTCCTGATAGTATTAATAATAACAATATCTATAATTTATTATTTATTATAGCTGTGCTTATTATGTCCCAGACACTGTATACTCTCTTTTTTATATTCTACAGTATTTATGAAACTACTGTATGAAATTAGTGGAAGCCAAAGCACAAAGAGGCTAAATGATTGTCCATGATCACACAGCTACTAAGAGGCAGAAACTGGATACAAGATCAAGTAATCTGTCATTGAACAATGTACTTGACTAGTATGCTGCTCCACATCTTATAAAATAGTACTATTTGCTACTTAGGCTCTACAATATGTTCAACAAGTCATCTTCCTCTTAGGCCCTCAACACTGTTTCCTCAAACCCCTTTCAGATTTATACCTCTATAAGCCTAGATATGCCAATGAATGAACAGACTTTTTAGGTTGCCTAATGCTGTACCTTATAGTAACTGTGTCCAGTTTCCATCTTATCATCTTTTTTTATTAGAAGATGACTAAATCTCTTTAAGATTTGGCTGATTATGCTTTCCTAGCCATCACTAATTTTTGTTCTTCCTTCATATGTTTTCCTTTGGCAAAAATGACAAATCAAAGACTCTGCTATTTTTTCTGAAGGATTGATTCTTTGTCATGCCTCATAAGGTGTCAAACAAGGCACCAGCAATGAAATTTGCTTGATAACCAGAAAGAGAACTTTAGGCAGTTACAGAAACATCTCTCTTCATTGCTGGTGGAGTCCCAAATGGTTCTGTGTTTAGGAACATTTATAAAAACTCAAAAGTACCTTCTTGGAGGCCAAGGTAGAGGATACCCACATTTCTAATCTGTGCATTTTCTGATGAACTAGAAATTTAGGTTGTGGTATTTTCGTGTGAAGGAGAGGAAAAAAACATCCATGTCAAATTTGAAATCATGGCATCCATAGATTTTAGTCTTATACTTCATCTCAGGTATCATTGGAAAAAAAATATATATATATATATATTTCCTCATTCAGTATTCACTCATAAATGAAATGGAAAGTGACACCATAGTCTTTATGAATAAAGGAATCTAAATATAAAGATCCTTTCAGAGACTATATTGACTCAAAGTATAGTATTTTGGGTTTTTTAAAATCATTT